CTTCCTGCTCTTGGATTGCTTACTGTTTTTTACATATCCATCCCATCAGATGACATTTGCTGTGCTAAGCCTTTTTCTAATTTTTGGGGGATGATAGTGCTATACAGACCAACAAAATCCTTGCACTGATAAGGCTTAGATGACAGGTTAAGGCTGAAAAACATTCAAATAAGCACTTTAGCAGTGATGCATACAATATAGAAAAATAATCGTAGTATGAACAGAAAGTATGACAAGAGCAAAAAGGTTGTTTTCAATACAGTGGTTGGAAAAAGCTTTGCAATTGAAAATGGAAGGAAAAATCTAAAGAAATGAAGGAGAATGCTACACAAATTTCATTGAAGACAACAGCAAACTGTGATGCTCTGGGGTAGAAGTCAGGTAGGCTTATTCCAGACACCTCAAGAAGCCCTGCTGCTGTTGCCCGGAAAGGGATTGGCAGAGTGGCACTGATGAGTCTGGAACTATGGATTGAGCCCTGGAGAGAACTCAATAGGCTATGGCAAATAGGATGAGGAACAATTTGGAGGGCTGAAGAGTGACGTTATCTAATGAGGCTGATGTGTGAAGATGGGACAAAAGTTGGAAGGAGCAAATGTGAAATCAGGAAGACCAGTTATAACCATAGATGAAGAAGCTGAGGAAGTGGCTGGGTCTCATTAGTAAGTTCGGATGGGTAGAGTCATCCACATTTATTAATAATTATGGATATGGAGTAAGGGAAAGAGAATAGAGTGAGTGTGGATATCATTTACTGGGACAAGGAAAACAAGAACAGGATTGGAAAGAGAGTAAGAGTTTTATATATTAAGTTTGGGACTTCCTATTAGACATCCAGGTTGGCATCAGCCAATGACGTCAGCATATGGACATACAAATCTCATTGTAGGGAAGAAGTCAATAATTAAAATACAAATTTAGGAGTGTAAATTAGTTCAACCATTGTGGAAGACACTGTGGCAATTTCTCAAGCATCTAGAACTAAAAATACCATTTGACCCAGCAATCCCAATTACTGGGTATTTACCCAAAGGATCATAAATCATTCTGCTATAAAGACACATGCACAGGTATGTTTATTGTGGCACTGTTCACAATAGCAAAGACTTGGACCCAACCCAAATGCCCATCAATGATAGACTGGATAAAGAAAACAGGGCACATATACACCATGGAATACTATGCAGCCATAAAAAAGAATGAGTTTATGTCCTTTGCGTGGATGAAGCTGGACATCCATGTCCAAAACATGGATGAAGCTGGAAACCATTGTTCTCAAAAAACTAACACAAAAACAGAAAACCAAACACCACATGTTCTCACTCATAAGTGGGAGTTGAACAATGAAAACACATGGACACAGGGAGGGGAACATCACATGCTGGGGCCTGTCAAAAATAGCTGGGAGAGGGATAGCATTAGGAGAAATGCCTAATGTAGATGATGGGTTGATGGGTACAGCAAACCATCATGGCACATGTGTACCTATGTAACAAACCTGCACATTCTGCACATGTACCCCAGAACTTAAAGTATAATAATAAAAAAGAAGTTTTCAATATATTGTCAGTATTTAACATAATGACTTACATAAGATTAAGGCAGACCTAGGGATATTTTAAAATTTAGAGTTTAAGACAAATAAAAAAGAGCTGGGGGAAAGAAAAAGACTGAGGAAGAACAGAGAGTGAAATGAAAGGGAAATCACAAGTTCATGGTGAATCCTGAAAGTCGAGTGAAGAAAAGAGTTTGAAGATGATTCCTTAAGTTCCAGGAATAATCTACGAGGTCAATTATGCTCAGGAGTGTTGTCTTACTTCTGGTTTCTTGTACTTACTTCTGTTTCTTACACTTACACAAATAAGCATATACCCATATTTTTAAAACAGACTTCTACTTAAAATTAAATAAAAATACTCACATACATGAAACTCTTTTCCTTACTCATGATAAGGAAAAAGAATTAAACATATTCTTGTTGTCTACCCTCCTTTTATGATAAAACTGCTTTTTGTGCCTGTTAACTTTTCTCTTTTGAGTTTTGTTGTGGACACATGGCCTTTCATAAACAACTCATTTCTTTTAACGAGGGTAATTATGATGATCATTATCTGCTAGACATCTTGCTAAAACCTGGCCATTGTTATTTCATTTAATCTGGCTTCTTTGTACTTTCAGAATTGCCCCTGATATTCTTGAAAACTCTCTTATTCTCTGGCAACAACACTATGTTTCAGAAGCATTCTGATTTTCAGTTGCCTTAAATATTAGAATTGGCTAGTCACCTCGAAATCCTAGTTATATTCAGAGGAGAATAAAAATAGAGACGAATAATGCAGTCCTGGGTGTAAACGTCAGTGTTAGCATTCTGCAAATGTATTGAGGTTGCTGTCTTGCCACCTGTAGTAATAGTAAAACAGGAAAATATTTTAATTTACAGTTATGGATTCCCATTGATTTTTTTTTCCTTTCAGCCTGTTGTGATGCTCTATCATAGTTGTCTTACCATATTTGCTTTCTACTACATTGAAATTCCCACTTACAAATGGACATGCTGATGCTAGAGTGCTGAAGTTATTTTCACATCAGCACATAACCAAATACATCGGGGATACCACTAATTTATCCTACCTGGTGCTGCTTCTATGTCTCAGGAAATGTGCTAAACTTTGAGGTTACAGAGATCAGGAGTGTATGTTTTTCTGCCTTCTCCAACCAATGCTTCTCTTTCTCTTGCTACTGGGATAAATATCTTGCTCATGCAGGGCAGATGATGGAAAGCAGCAAAAATTCAGCCAACTTCTACCTAAAGATGCCCTATCTTTGCTATCTTTAGCCTCTACTGAATTGGGGATTTCCTATTCAAGGTGGTTCTCACCTTCTCCTGTGTGCATATATCTTCTGTGCTATAGCTCTGCCTTCCTTTACTAGAAAGGAGATGATTCAAGACAATATTTTAAAAACATAAAACGTCCCATCACTTCATCTAAAATGATTTTTCTGAAGGCTGTCTTCCCCTACCCCTCAGATTTGGGTATACAAAACAGCTAGGAAGGTTTCTGCATTGCTCAATATCTCAACAGTGATTAAAAAGTACAAATTGTTGAGTGCCACTCCAACTTTCCAAATTAGAATTTCTGGAAATGAAAACCAGAATTCTAAAGTTTTAGAAACCTTCTCAAGTGATTCATACAACTTAAGAATGATTGTCTGTAAGCTCTGTATTCACTGGTCATTTTCCACCAAGGAAAAGCTCTAAAACTACTGCCAGACGTGATAAAGAAAGAAGTCGGAAATAAAACACCAAGAAGAGATTCTGCTCTGTTCATTCTCCCTGCATAGGCTAAGGTGTACACAAGAATCCCAGGGTACAGTAGAAGTGGGGTGCGGTCAGCATGTCTGAAATTATCAAGATGCCAAGTATGGCCGAAGTACAGATTCCTCTGACGTGGAGAAGGGAAAGCAAGAACACCTCTTGACAAGCCTCTATGGCACCGTAATGACCTCCTAGCTCAGTCTCTGGGCTACTTACAGAGCAGCCACCAACCACTGAGTAGGACAACTTCCCCTACCTGGGCCCAGGGAACATCACAGCAGAGCACATCTTCCTTCTTGCCCACCACGTCTCCAGTCCTTCCTTTCAAGTCTCAATCCCTCCCACAGCACCCCACTCATAGCTGTATGAGGCACCCCAGTCACTGGTTCAAGTGTAGGCTCTAAAGTCAGACAGCTCCAAGTCTCCCCTACCATTTAAATAATCAGTGCCACGTTTGTTCTGATTGTAAAATTCTGATAAGGATTAAATGAAGATACCCAAAGTTCTTGGTACTGCACTTGGCACCAAGTAGGACTCTGTTGCTACGGATCACTTAGGTATATTTCTTCAAGTTTTAATTCAATGTGGTTGTCATTGGATGCTTACTGAATGCTTGGACACTCATTGGCTTACTGCTGACTGCTACTTGACCAAACATGATAACTTGGTAAATAAAACAAAGTGATGGATAGATAGACGTAAGTAACTTCATGCCTTTTATACATCTGTAAGTGACTTGGACTTTAATATTTAAATAACACATTAAACTAGGCATTTGCAACGGTTAAGAATTGAATTAATAGCTCTGCCTACGATTGCAATCATTGAATTTTACCTTCATCGTGAAAATGGTTTAACTGGCTTAATTCCAGCTGATAATTCCTTGGTGTGAATAAATTGCAGGCCAATAACACATTTAAAAGTCCTTGCACACTTTCAAATTATAATGTAGTATCCAATTTAATCTGTTCTACAACACAAGTGTTATCTTTACTAATTATTATAGATGGCTAACATTACATATGGAGATTATTCAAGTTTATATGTTAGATTATAAAAATCATAATAATGCATACTGCTTACCTTAACTATATGTGAATTCAATGACTCTCTAAATGGAGAATACATCTGAACTTCCTTCCATTACACTACAGCAGTTACTGCAGTTGTCTGAAAAAGCCCTGGACAGAGACACAATTTCCACAGTGAAATGTGACCTAAGGCAGAGGCTCTCCAACCTAGCCATATATTATATATATTAGCACAAATTTGGAGATTTAATTTTTAAAGTATTTTTTACATTGTCTGGTGATCTATTCCAGACCCATTACATTAGAACTGGGCCGGGGGAGGGGAGGAGGAGGAGAAGTAGGTATCAGCATTATTTAAAAGCATGTCAGGAAACTATAACGTACAACCAGAGTTGAGAACCACAGTCAAAAACTAGAGATCAGCAAATGACTTAAGAGAAGTGAAAGCGAGAGACTGGCACTAATTAAGGCTTTCTTTATGTTGTGATCAGAAAAATAAAGGTTTAAGAAATATTTTTAGAGGACAGTTCTTCAGAGAAATTGAAGAACATTTCAGGATAGAAACATATTCTGAAATTTCTATGATGAAAATCTTCTAGAAAGTAACCACTTTGGATGGAGAGTGTCTCATATTTCTTCATTACAATTTTCAGGAGAAATTTAGAGCCATCCAAGTGGACAGCAATCCTAGGCCTGCATATGGCATCAAATCTGACCTCTCCTCACACTGTCTCTCGGTTGATAGATCAAATTGTCATAAACCCTCATTACAATAAACAAAGAAAGAACAATGACATTGCCATGATGCATCTGGAATTTAAAGTGAATTATACAGGTAAAAAAATCACTTTTGGTCATCTTATGTTCCAAAATTAATTCAAAATTCGATTTGAAATATTAATATCAATGCATTAATGTATTAAAGTTAGATAATTTGTTACATAAGTCATTAGAACTTAAATGGGATCGGGAGATAGGGAGAAATACATGAAATTTCTTTCATCAGAATGTTTAACTTCAACATTCTGGAAAAAAACAGTCGAATAAAATTCTTTAAAAATGCATAACAATAAACTCAAAGGAGCAGCTCAGAGTAATAGGTGATGTTATTATGCATGCCTTCTCTATTTCTCCTGTAAAGATGAAAGAAAGGCTTTAGAAGTGACCAATGTCGATGCTTCCATAATTGCCCCGTAAAAACAATCTCCTAAAAGCTTTCTTAACGTGGAGATAATTGGGAAAAATAAAAAAGCCTCAGAACATTTGCCCGTTTCTATTAATTGATGCTAAAAATCATCTTTACCAAAATTTTTACAGAAAAGGTACCACTTTCTATTGAGCACCATAATTTTATTAAAAAATAAAATATAAATGATTACCTCCAGAACTATACCAGTAAAAAAATCACTTTTGGTCATCTTATCTGCCTACTTTAACTACATGTGAATTCAATGACTCTCTAAATGGGAGAATGCATCTGAACTTCCTTCCATTACACTACAGTACAGAACTAAGACATTTTTTACACTGTTCTACTGTTTTACACGGTTTTTAATCTGTTCTACAACACAAGTGTTATCCAGTAATGAGGAGACTTGTAAAATACCCTAAAAGGCCACTAGTGGTAGCTGATCTACTGTCAAAATAAATGCTGCTCTGAAGTGCCTATTTCTTCCAAGACTGATGTCTAAAATTTGTACAAGTAGGATAAAATAAAAAGACAAGGTTTTTTTAGATTGTTGAAAATGATTGATTTTTAAAATTTGTCAGAAATGCTTGTAAATATGTTCTTTCTTTTTCTTTGTTTGTTCGTTTTGCTGGTTTTTTTTTTGTTTGTTTGTTTGTTTTCCAGATTACATACAACCTATTTGTTTACCAGAAGAAAATCAAGTTTTTCTTCCAGGAAGAAACTGCTCTATTGCTGGTTGGGGGAGACTTGTACATCAAGGTAAATTATCAGACTCAAAAAAAAAAAAAAAACCTTACTGGTGGAAAACATGCTATCACAATATCCTATGAATACTTTCAACATTTTTGCAATTCTTATATAACAATTTTGCAATATCTTCTAAAAGTACTGTCAAGTATGTACGTATATGTTTAGGGTTGTACTTCCAGAGTTTTCAAAAATATACCTCTAGAGTTTGTATATTTGTATAGTTTTCAAAAATGTCTTCAGCTTGCATAGATAGTATTATAAAACTATAGTCTTTTGAGGGGGAATTCAAGTGTCTCTCAACTCAATATCTAGTTTTAGTATTATGAACACTCTGATAAAGATTAAAAAATACTTCACTAAAATGAATATAAACTAAAGTTAGAAAAATTTATTTTGGTAAAGCACATGACAAACTCTCATCAAAAGTCAAAGTATTACCTGTCACATTTTCCAAACTAATAAAACTACCTTTATTTATAATGTAAAGGCCTCACACTCACATTTCCTTAAAATGAGAAAGGAATTTTCTTCTAACTTGGACATGCTAATTCTGCTTATTGACAAGAGACTCAGATTTGGCATGAATCATACATTGTATCCATTCACCCCAGCATCAACTGTATGTTTTCCAAATGCAAACATGATACATATTAAAAATAATCATACATATTTTAAAAAAAGTATTGTCATACTTCATACCCTCTAAGTATAACCACAAGGATCTTTGGCTGTGGAATTTCTACTAGGAATGCCCTATCTGGGACAGAGTTTTGACCACTAATAAATAATAAAGCAACAGGAAAGGCATTATAGTCCGATAAGAGGACCTGATCTCTGCAGTCACAACAATTATAGTCATGATGTTTAAATGCCCTAAATGTATTTAAGATGAAAATGCAGAAAATCTTGTGGTAAAGGTAGAGGGGTCTCAGAATCGAAGTACTCACATTTAATATATATATTGTTCAAAAGGAAGAAATGGGTGATATTAGTTGGTTAAATTAAGGCAATCAGTAAACAGACACTGAACAAATTTTCTTTTACCAGTTTTATCATCTACAAAACAAATCTTAATTGATTGACAAGGAGCAAAAGTGGCCTTGGTTTTTATTACAAAATTAAAGTCTACCAGCCCATCCTGGATCCTCATAGAATGGATAACAGTGAGATGCCAAATTTTCTCCTCCATTTTAATCTCTCCAATTCATTTTCTTAACCTATAGTCCATTGTCAGACTTGAAATGTTATCTGATAATGTTTACTCCATGTTCACTGCCATGCTGTTCCCTTGAAATTGATCGTTGTGGAAGTGTTGACAACAGTAAAATGAGAAGAAGACCCACGGGACTTCCATTTTTCTGAGACAGTTGATATACAATTATCACTGCACTACTGAGTCATATATATGCTGTCTGCATCTAAATTACACACACACACACAGAGAGATACACACACACTCACGTACATATGCACAAACACACTTTTTGCTTTCTTCATCTTTTTAGTGCATGGATTAATTTTAGCTAGAAATGGGGTCTCATTTTTGCAGCATCAATGGCTGTCAAATGTGCTAACTTCTCTTCAACATTCTGCCTCTCTTGAGGAAGCAAATAGAAATGCTAATTATTAGAAAGTGCTCATCATGTACCTTTTCTGGGACACTAGACACCTGCCTGTTTTACATCTCTCTTGGGATGAGGATTTCAGCACACAGAGATTCGTACTTCTAGTGGATGAATCATTCTGTAAAAAGCAAGAAAATACACTCTATTTTGTTTACAAAAAATACCTCCTTTCTCTTCACCTGGGTATGGATAACAAGCTGATTGCCCCTAGACCAGGGCAAAGTGCGTCTGAGCTTTGTCCCCTGCTCAATGTGCACCTGCTCACTCACACAGCACCACAAAGAAGCTGAATGCTATTATACAGAAGCGAGCACCTCCTCAGGTGCCAAATGAAAAGCACTTCTGGATTTCTGAGCCATTGCTAATTTCCATGAATGAGACACTTTGTGTTGGTAAGCTGTTTCCCCCATGAGCAATCCTGTAACTGTTTAAAATCACTGAAGATGCCCTAAGACCTTCTAGTCTAATCCACTCTTTCTTCTTTCTTCAGTAAGAAAGAAGAGCTTTTCTGTTATACATTTGGCAAAATCCACAGATGAGCTTAACTATGTACTTTGGTGTGCAAGGTTTAGTATTTAGTTCCATTATATATGCACACAGTACTCAATAGTGAGAGTGAAATGTTAGAATAAACAAGACTGATGGTAGTTCATTCAAGGATGCATGTTGATCACTTCTGACTGGCTGGCTGCATTATCCATTTTGAGCAGGTCCTACTGCAAACATATTGCAAGAAGCTGATGTTCCTCTTCTATCAAATGAGAAATGTCAAAAGCAGATGCCAGAATATAACATTAATGAAAACATGATATGTGCAGGCTATGAAGAAGGAGGAATAGACTCTTGTCAGGTAAAGATGTAAAGCAGCTGTACATTTTCAGAAAGCACTGGTGTAATAATTATTTTATTGCTTAACAATAATTTGGGAGTAAAGAAATCATCAAGGTTCTTTGATTTCTCATCTCTTACAAAACTGTTACTTTTTTTGCTGATTTGCATAATCCTCTTGAGTAGACCTGAGCACTTGAAATAAATTATTTTTAAGAAAAGAGGTTACAAGTCAGATGTCTTTGGACATTGTTTAGATGAATACCTGCATAGCCTAGTTAGAGTCAGTTTACAGCTAACCAGCGGGGAAGTAAATAACTTAATAGACTGGCATAACCCTGGCTCTGGTCTTTATGTTATTGTTTACACTTTATATGAGAAATGTAATAACTTGAACTTGCTGTAGTGGTAATGTCAATACTGCAATAAATTTGAAGTGTCAATAGCTCTTGACCTGTGTGACCATTAGAAAAGAACTCTTACCCATATACTAACTTCATTGAAACTAAAAATAGTGTGCCTATTAGCTCCATGAAATCCAAAAACACACAATAAATAAAAAGGAAAGTTCTGCTAGATTGTCAAATTATAATTAATTTTTTAGGTACAGCATGGGGTAGTCATGAAGAGCGTGGATTCTATGTTCATACTACTCTTGCTTGATCCCGGCTTTAATACTTATTGGTGAGACTTTGGGCAAGTCACTTAGGGTTTACAGAGAGGCTTAAATCAGATGAACCATGCAAGGCATCAAATAGTTACTAAAAAATATTAACAATTTCTATTATGAAACTTACTAAATGAGTTTTCTGGCATATTTTCTGTATTTGACAATTAATAGAATATCAAAGCTTTAATGACTGCTGGATTAGATTAAATCTGCTAGCATTACTGACCAATGAATAATTTCTAAATGAGGAAATAGCAGTTTATATCATGGGAAAGTGGTTTCACCTTGTCGAAGTATAGTAACTTATTTCACGTATTAACACATATGTATCATCCTGCCAATACATGATAAGCCATATAAATTGATGTTTATTCAGATAATATGTATATGAATCCCCTAGTTAAATCAATGTCTTAAGTTGTGTTAAATTTCCAGCTTAGTTGTAGATTTATTCTGCTTTGATAAGTGCTTGCAAATTCAAGACAAATAGGATGGCTTTCTTCTTGTTTAAAATTTATCTCTGAGTCTTATACTTCTTTTGTAAAATGAAAAGTGTGCTAAAGATAAGATATATTGCCACTTAGAAGGAGATCTATAGAATTATTGCACTGGAGGGAAATCAGCTGGACAACTTCAAGTGCAGTTTTTGGGGATTGTGTGACAGACAATTCACACACTAGGCAGAAAATACGATGGCTGATGCTACTGATTTTAGGATTACATTAAGCTATTAACTCATGCCAGGTCTCTGAAATCTTATAGTTAGCTCTATTTCTACACGGTCTAAGTATGTTATTCTTTGCAAGTAAGAAGGCTCCCACATAAGGTAATATCTTGTACAATAAAATGTTACCATAATTGAGTAATCAATACACAAGATTGTCACATGATTTTCTTTGTTCAACTTTAATACTATGTTTTATAAGAGGATTAACTGATTAAGTAAGAATGCATTCTTTAAAATTGTGAACATATTACTGATACATTATTTGAATAAGTTCTTTGAAGCAGTACTTTTTAGCCTTATAATGGAAAAGAATGTGTTTTGTTAGTCATCCACAACTTGCATGTCTTCTGACTTACCAAAGGCTTGCCTTTTAGTGGTAGTAGTTTGGATTTAAAGGCAACATCAGTGGCTGGAGAATATCTTCTTTACTTAAAACTCAGCAAATGACACTCTACCTACCATTCCAAGCCATACTCTATACTAATGGCTTTCAAAGCATGACCTCCAATCCAGCAGCATCACCTAAGAACCTGCTAGAAATGCAAATTATCAGGTACCATTACATATCTGGTGAATCAAAAACTATGAGGATGGGGCCTAGCAATGCGTGTTTGTCACATCTTCCAGGGGATTCTGATGCAGACAAACTATAGGAAGTAATATTCTAAACAAAAATTGTCACCAGCCCTTACACTCAGACACTCAAATAAGGTACTGATTTTTATTTTTACTTATAAATATGTCATCTCACTAGAAACGTAAATTTAAGGTTAATACTTTATGTTCTGGAAATTCATGCTTTTAAAATTTTTATTTATTTATTTATTTATTTTTAATTTTTTCGAGACAGAGTTTCATTCTTATTGCCCAGGTTAGAGTGCAGTGGCACAATCTTGGCTCACTGCAACCTCCACCTCCCAAGTTCAAACAATTCTCCTGCCTCAGTCTCCTGAGTAGCTACAATTACAGCTACCCACCACCACACCTGACTAATTTTTGTATTTTTAATAGAAACGAGGTTTTACCATGTTGGCCAGGCTGAACTTGAACTTCTGACCTTAGGTGATCCACCTGTCTCAGCCTCCCAAAGTGCTGGATCACAGGTGTGAACCACCGGGCCCAGCCCCATGCATATTTTTCAAGTACTCATATATCTCTGAGACAGTGAAGAAGGAAATATTAATACCTTAATTGAACAAATCAGAAAATTAAGGTAAGGCAACAAACATATGAAAAAAAAAACACTCAAAATCACTGATCATTAGAGAAATGCAAATCAAAATCACAATGAGATATCATCTCACACCAGTCAGAATAGCAATTATGAAAAAGTCAAGAAACAGTAGATGTGGGCAAGATTGTGGAGAAATAGGAACACTTTTACACTGTTAGTGGGAATGTAAATTAGTTCAACCATTGTGGAAGACGGTATGGTGATTCCTCAAGGATCTAGAACCAGAAATACCATTTGACCCAGCAATCCCATTACTGATTATATACCCAGTGGAATATAAATCATTCTACTATAAAGATACATGTACACATATGCTTATTGCACCACTATTTACAATAGCAAAGACTTGGAACCAACCCAAATGCCCATCAGTGATAAACTGGATAAAGAAAATGTGGTACATATACACCATGGAATACTATGCAGCCATAAAAGGGAATGAGATCATGTTCTTTCCAGGACATGGATGAAGCTGGAAGCCAACATCCTCAGCACACTAACACAGGAACAGAAAACCAAACACTGCATGTTCTTACTCATGAGCGGTAGTTGAACAATGAGAACACATGGACACAAGATGGTGAATAACACACACTAGGGCCTCTTGAGGATGATGGGGGGCAAAGGGGAAGGAACTTAGAGGGTGGGTCAATAGGTGCAGCAAATCAACATGGCACATGTATACCTATGTAACAAACCTACATATTCTAGACATGTGCCCCAGAACTTAAAGTAAAAAAAAATAAAAAAAAGAAAGAAAGAAAATTAAGGCAAGGAGAAGTTACATAGCTAAACTGATGTGGTATAGTTAGATGACAGGAAGTAAGGGAAACTGAATGAAGTCTCCCAACCAGATAGACCACCCAGCAGATAGGCAACATGTCTGCTGCATGATCCTTGAGTAACTGCAACTAACCCAGTATGTACTGAGTAAGTTAAAAATCCTTGCTTTGTCTGGAACCTCCTATTAAAACATTAAATTATTTTAGAAGATATGTAAAAAACCAGATGACTCCTTTTAAAAATACCCAAACAGTTGAAGTTTATTTTTAATAATTTCCAATTCATATATAATGTATTTTGAACCTTGAATATATACTGTTCCATAAATATTTCAGAACCTATATTACAGGTTAAGGGCTTAGGATTCAAAAAAAAATCACAGTCCCTGCTTTCACATGGCTTGAACACATCTGTTACCTGTTGGTAACCTGTGGACGCCAGTGAAATTTATGTCCCTCTGTATGGAGGGGAAAAAAGGTGATTTGATAGACTACATTTTTTCCTTTAAATATAGGGCCCAAACATGGTAAAGGATCAGGCAAAAAGTCCCTTAGGATATTTCTAGCATCTAGCTGTTATTGAAATATTATACTATACCGGTGATTTCAAAAAGCATAAAACTTTAAATGTCTTCATAAATACACAAAATTAATTAATTAAAAATATTTCTCCAATTAATACGGGAAAAATACTTGTCGATTTTATGTCATTAAATAATGATATGTTTGTATTACCATTGCATTACACAAGAATCACATGCAAATAAAATGTATGTAGTTTACTAGGTCTGCTGGAATTAATATTCATAAAAATTAAAAACGTTTCTTTATTTGCAATCTCAGATGAAAACATGAGTTCTTATCATTAAAAATAATATCACAGATATGCTTATTTCAGTTAAAATGTTTTTCAAATTGGATGGTGTTTTCTGAGTCCCAAAAAGATACTGCTACCCAGCAGAACTAAAATCAACTTTATGTACAAGTTCTTAATTTTTCTGAAGAGCATATTGTGAAATAATTTGTCTTTTCCACAGTGTGCTCTGTGACACAGCATATCTCTTTAAATAAAACAATTGGCTTTTAATATATATTTTGGTTGGGATGCTGTTCATAGTTGTGCTTTAAAGAATTTCTTAGTGTCCACCAAAGTGCCTAATTAACATGGTGAAACTCTTAATATAAAAGTGCACCACAAAAATGATAAATTATTTCTTAGTTATTGTTTCTCTGTCTCCTCACTGAGGTTCTCATTCCTGGCTTAGAGTGAAAGTGAAAATATGTACAGATGATTTGCAATTAAACCATATTTTTAAATTTTTTTAAATTTATTTGATACAAACAATCTTATATGTTTAGATCAGTTGACCACATATCTATAATTTTCCTTTGCAATTCACTCTTTAGGGGGATTCAGGAGGACCATTGATGTGCCAAGAAAACAACAGGTGGTTCCTTGCTGGTGTGACCTCATTTGGATACCAGTGTGCCCTGCCTAATCGCCCCGGAGTGTACGCCAGAGTCTCAAGGTTTACAGCATGGATCCAAAGTTTTCTACATTAGAGCATTTCTTAAACCAAATATGAAAGTCAGATTATTTTCACATTCTACTCTAGAAATCATGGAAATTAAGGGTTTTGTACAAAATTTTTTAAAAGTTACCAAAAGTATTCTTACCTATGCCAATTAAATGCTAGGGGGCCAGGGAAGCAAAATTTTAAAAATAATAAAATTCATCTTGGCAATAGAGAGTAACTTTAAAATATCACAAAATACATTTTTATTTCATTGTGAACAGCTATTTCTTCACAGATTTCACTTTTTAAATTCTTAATCATTGTTTTTATTATTTACTGTTATTTAAAGGGGTATTTACTGTTATTTTAAAACATATACCATATACTTAAGAAATTTTTAGCATAATTTAAAAAAGAAAGAAAATGAAATGTTTTGCCCATCATATGTCACTGTTGTAAAAAAACTGCCATAAATTTTCTAGTTCCAGTTTAGCTTGCTATTAGCAGAATCTGAATAGTTTTCATCGCAATCATTTTTCTGTTTTATTCTATCAAAATGCATTCTTATTTTGACATATGCATAACCTTAGTATTTTCCCCACTAATTAAAAATATTTATTGTAAGCTTATATCACAAGCCTGGACTAAATTGACTTTACATTCCTCTTAAATAAGCAAATTAAATAAATGATAAATTAATTAATATGGTCATTATATATTAGATAAATTTTTACCTGGATTATGTATACTGTCTATTTATTTCAAGCTAGTATTTTTAAGTCCCCTCAAAATAATCAGACATACCAAAGAAATGCACCTATTACAAATGCTGGTCCTGGTTTATGTGTGTTACAGTGAATATTTCTAATATGTGAAAAACTTATTTAGACACAGCTGAATTGCCCATGAGAAGGTCAAATGTGTGTAATAAATGAATTTGCTTCACTTGTTTAATCTCTTGGATCATCTCCAGAGTAAGTGCAGACTTCAATTTAGCTCACCACACAGAATCTGTTGGTGTATTTGGGGAGAAAAAAATTATATTTAGTTAATACAAAACAACACACACATTCTTGCATGGACAATATAATAGAAGAGAGAGTAAAGTTAAAAGAAGTTGAAAGAAGGGACCAATCTGTATGGATTGACCTTCTGGAAGAAAAAAGACTTGAACTTCACCGGGAAAGAATAATTATTACAGAAGCATTGAAGAGGATATTGGGGAGCCATTGTGCAGGTGGGAGTTAGTTAAGGGAAAGGGGTCAACACAGAACCATGTGTTGTCATACTAAAAAACTCTCTCTCTCTCTGGCAAACAGTCAGATAAAGGGGAAAAAATATTATATGAAGATGTGGCCAGATGACGGAAGACTGCAAATTCCTGTTAAGGAATTGTAGAATTCATTCTTTGGACAAAAATCAGAAGCCACTTGTTTAGGTCCATTTTCATGCTGCTAATAAAGACATACCCAAGACTGGGTAATTTATAAAGGAAAGAAGTTTAATAGACTCACAGTTCCACATAGCTTAAGAGGCCTCAAAATCATGGTGGAAGGCAAAGGAGGAGCAGAGTCACGTCTTACATGGAGGCAGACAAGAGCATTTGCAGGGGAACTCCCATTTATAAAACTATTAGATCTCTTGAGACTAACTACCATGAGAACAGTATAGGGGAACCATCCCCATGATTGAATTATCTTCACCTGGCCCTGCCCTTAACACATGGGGATTATTACAATTCGAGGTGAGATTTGGGTGGGGACACAGCCAAACCATATCATCACTGAACACACTATTCTTTTTCACCATTCTAACAGTTGGGAAAGACAGACTTACCAGCAGGATATTTGTTTTTAGTACCTGAAGATTGTTCCATATTTCTTCTCCATTTCCAACATATAGCAAAAATATATTCTAAAAATGCTAACACTTAAAACAGATACAGCATGTATTTCTTTTCATTTTTCAAAGGTAAGCTAAAATTTTAAGAAACTGTTCAGACAGCATCACTATCATTTTCTAATAAAAGAGAAGTTCTTTTTTATTTTGCCTCAAAAAGTGACATTTATTCAAGGAAAAAATGACAAGATGTCCATCCCTTGATTCCCTTCCCTCTCTCTTCCTGCTGCTCCTCAGCTCCCACCAAGACTGAGCTCTGGCTGGGTCTAAGTGGCAGGACAGCCCCTCAGACGAGGTCAGCAACATTTTTTCACCTCTAGTCGCTGATAGGTTTAGTTGTTGATACCAGAAAAGTAACCCAGATCTAGATAAAGATCAAGAGCAAAAGCAAGGCGTATCTGCATTGATTTGCTGTTTTTGTCTTGCAACTGTTATAGTTATGGTGGCAAAGACAAGGGGGGACACCCAGTTTTCCTCCATGGTGTCCACACAGAGGGAAAAATACATGATAGTAGTTTGGAGGAAAAAGATTAGGTCGCAGCAGCTGGTCTCCAGTTCTACCCAGAAAGACAGGTAGGCAAGAAAAGAAGGAGGAGTACTACATGTTGGCAGATGTCAGCTTCAAATGCAGCTGCTCATTCTCTCAGTCTATGAGCAGCTGAAAACAGGCAATGCTCATTAATTTCTCTCTTGCTTCCTAGCTTTGCCAACCAATGTTAGTTGTGAATTGTGTTAAAGAAAGTACCTCATTATGTAACCGAAAAGATTCACAGGGAAAATATTAACCATAACCATGCCTTCCATTCTTGGCACACTTTAAGAGTAATTTGTTTTCAACTTTATATATCGATGCAAACATATCTGTACTTTTTTCACATAAGAGTTTTAGACAGGACTAGTGGTCATTCTTCAGAAACAAGAACACTTTATTTGGTTGAAAGGAGCACAGGGACATATGAAGACCAGACAGTTACAACTTTCTCTTGAGAAGATCAAGGTATAAGCATTGAAGAAACTAGGAGATAAGACAGAAAGGACCCACCGTTTTCTATCTCAAGCAAACTCTCATCAACGAATATGTGATCATTGATGGGTTCCAATCCATTTTCTCACAATTTTGTGGTTTCTTTCCTTCCAGAAATGTCTGTGTGCTGTGCTTATCTCCACAATGATGGTGACTATTCACCTGGTCTCAACCACAAGACCTCTTTGTATACTATTATAGTTAGAGGCTAAATGCAGCTAGGGAAACTTAGACAAACTCTGCAACTATCAGTCTCAAGTGTCAATCCCAAACCCCAAACAAACATCTTTGTTTAGTGGGCAAGAGAGGGACCACACTGATTCCAGAACCCTCAGAGAGCTGCTTGTCATTATATAGGCAACGTGTGAAGACATAATTTATATTGTGTATGCCACTTTTGTTCAAATTGACTGCATTACTGTTTATGCGCCTATTAACAAAGTTACATTATTACAAAATCTGTTGAATTTTAAACTAAAAATAATTATAAGGCACGTGTCTTGCACAATTGAAATTAGACAATCCTTGCCTCTAAGTAAAATGTTTGAGGAGGTTTATATCACACTTAATGAAATAGCTTCTTATTTCTGAAGAGTTCTTAGACTTTTGACCAAAAGCAGAGAAACTGAAAGATGAATCATTTCTAGAAAACAAACTTTTTCCATGCTACTGCATTTATGTGTGTGTGAATTCCATTGATAAGAGTAATAAATTTCTTTAATCAAAAGAGCCTGTATTGAAAAATGAGATGCCATAAAAATAAATATTAGAACAGTTAAATTTTATCAAACACTTATGCAAAGGTAAAATATTTTTGCACACTGTAAATTTCAATACAATATACGTTACATTAACTAGATTACAACTTATGAAAAGTGAAAGAAATAAAAATAATTGCTTCTAATGCACATAATCCCAATGTGTTGATAATAACTTGATCCGCATTGTCCATTTCATTTGCTTGATGTTTGGGTGCATCCTTTAGCAAAATAAGCATGTCTCACTCCATCATTAGCACAGCATATTTTGTAAGTGAAATAATAAACATATAAAAAATTACTTTAATATTTGCCTCAAGGGGGGAGCTTACAGTTCGTCTTGCAGATCCTTTGTGATTTCAAGCCATTCCAAGCTATGTTCTGATACCATTCCTTATACAGATCCCAAATTATAAAACTCTGGAACCAAGTCAATGAGTTATTACACTTCCATGCCAATTTCTTTTCTGGTACTCTTTGAAATCCACAGTGTGGACTGGTTTGGACTAGTTTTTGTTCTTCCTTTGCTGAAAAACATAAAAAAAATATGTTTAGTGCCTAAAACTTCTTATTAAACAGCATGTCTTGGTCCAAAGGGAAATATCTCAGACAATTATTTATGGAAGAGCCCTTCTCCTCTCAGTAGTATATTTTCCCATTCTTAGAAAAAATCCTAGATTATTCAAATATGTGAAGATGGCAAACAGTTCTTACGAATTATGGAGGAAACAAAACATATCTTTTCCTGTTGGATCTTTCCTAACTTATACTTCATTATTTTTGTTTTGGTTGTTATTCTTTTAATTTTTTTATTGCCATAGGTTATGGGGGAACAGGCGGTGTTTAGTAACATGAGTAAGTTTTTTAGCAGAGATTTGTGAGATTTTGATGCACCCATCACCTGATTAGTATACATTTTGCCCAATGTGTAGTCCTTTTTTTATTTTTATTTTTTTATTGCATTTTAGGTTTGGGGGTACATGTGAAGAACATGCAAGATAGTTGCATAGGTACACACGTGGCAGTGTGATTTGCTGCCTTCCTCCCCTTCACCTATATCTGGCATTTCTCTTCGTGCTATCTCTCTCCAACTCCCCAACCCCCACTGTCCCTCCCCATTCCACCCAACAGACCCCAGTGTGTAGTGCTCCCCTCCCTGTGTCCATGTGTTCTCATTGTCCAACTATACTACAAGGCTACAGTAATCAAAACAGCATGGTACTGGTACCAAAACAGAGTTATAGACCAATGGAACAGAACAGAGGCATCGGAGGCAACACAACATATCTAAAACCATACAGTCTTTGATAAACCTGACAAAAACAAGCAATGGGGAAAGGAGTCCCTGTTTAATAAATGGTGTTGAGAAAACTGGCTAGCTATGTGCAGAAAGCAGAAACTGGACCCCTTCCTGACACCTTACACTAAAATTAACTCCAGATGGATTAAACACTTAAACATAAGACCTAACACCATAAAAACCCTAGAGGAAAATCTAGGCAATGTGTAATCTTTTATCCCTCACCCCCTTCTCACCCTCTTCCCTGAGTCCCCAAAGTCCACTGTATCATTTTTATGCCTTTGCATCCTCATAGCTTAGCTCCCACTAATGAGTAAGAATATACGATGTTTGGTTTTCCATTCCTGTATACTTCACTTAGAATAATAGTCTCCAATCTCATCCAGGTCTCTGTGAATGCCATTAATTCACTACTTTGTATGGCTGAGTAGTATTCTACCATATAAATATACCACAAATTCTTTATCCACTCAACATTTAAGTTGGTTCTGTGCCTGATACAATATTAAAAATTTCTGTTTTATTCACTAATTAAAAACCTTTATTTTCTTTGATCAATTATTTTGGAAGTCTTCTGTCACTAACATATGTTGAATTTAATGCCAAGTCATCAAAACAATGTCATTATACTACGTGTAAGGATGTATCTATTCCCCTCGTCCCATCAGTTCTCCAGTCTTGCACCTAAATCACTTGATTTCTGGAAGCTTACTGGTGCCTCA